TACTTATGCAGATTATTGCCGAGTTAATACCTTTACCGTAGCGCGTGAATTTACTCTAGTTAGCCACATGTGAGAGACGAAACTCTCAGATCAGGTAGAAGATGTGTGAATCAATGAAACGTTGCAAAACTTCTACGCCACAATGTGCTACACTGTAGGTCTGTAGAGGATTTACTGAAGATTTGAATTTCCTCCAGTCAAAAGAGGTCATCTGACTACAAGAGATGCTTACTTGGAAAAGCTTTCACACGATTCTCAAAGAGAAGCTCTATGGAAAAGAGAGAAAAAGCTGCGTGAATCACTCGGTTTTCATTAAAAAATGATAGAACAAAAAACTACGAATTCAGACGTGTTTAAAATTTGTAGTGCTAGCCTTAATATGGTTAATTTTGGTCACAAAATCACTCACTAGGTGGTGTGAATTCTGCTTAAAAGAGCTGGGCGGATCTTCAAAGCACTGACTTCGTTGCCTTCGCAGCTCATCGATCTAGAAGTGAATTAGTTTATATTCTTATGAACTTTGCTATCCAAAACCCTGTTCGATACAATTATTTTCCATCACTTCTAGTCCCACGAACACAGCACCATTATATGCTTGCCGAATGTGAGCATTCAACTTCTTAGGATGTCAAACCACTTGCTTACCTACGATTTCAGTTCTGCAGCAGTCAGACATTACTCTCTGATTCTTCAACATGTCTCATTAAGAAACTTTTACGCTGGCTATTAAAATTTTCAATTGAGTTATTTATGTTAAGTGCTCAATTCAAATAAGGGCGCGCGTAGCGTAGCGTTGAGAGGCGTCCTGCAGTACACATAAGATCTATCCCTGCCCCCAGGCACACCAAACCCTCCATCCACCCGGGGTCGAAAGGTTGATACTGTACCAGACTTGTCTGGGGGATAGCAGCACTAGCTCGATACATAGGTAGGCCATCGCGAGTTATTTTAAAGGCCAGATATGGATTCAATCATCTCCAACGACGCTTAATGAAGTCGAATGCGTGGCGCATCCCTCAGGGATTGATCGACGACGAGAGCTTCGTCCTTTGTCCTTTGCTCAATTCATGTTTATCAATTCTACAGGCTCATTAAACTAATATCTTCCTGCCCTTTGACATAATCCTTACCTTGGAACTCTTGTAAAAGAAACCAATGTTTTATAAGTATAAATATGTTTTCCACATGATGCCATGACATATCGCACTGTGCCGACCGCAGCAATTCTTAAAATCGATGGTTTTTGCTCGCATCGTCATTCTTTTAAGACAACAGAAATGTGAATGAATTGGAAACTGTAGGTAAATTCCCTAACACCTCTAGTGGTCTTATGCCTCATGTTGGTTGAGTGTTTTTACGAATGTCGAACTAAAGTGTAGGCTTGTTGGCAGAGTTTGAGAAGTTGAGAAGTTCGACATCTCCCTGCGAAGCCTATCTAAGTATAAACTTATTCGACGGACGACTGGCATGGCACTTGCGAGATTACCGTAGTAGCATTTTTGCCAAAAACAGTGGGAAAAGGAGCCATTGTGGTTCCTTGGAGCCTTAAAGTCAGCCTTGTCAAAGTTTGCCGCAGTTCGTCACCACTACAGGCAGTCGCCGTCCTTGTGGATCAGAGGGAGATTTGCCACCATGCGACTAGTTCGATACTAGGGCGGTGGTGGATCCTGGTATTGGTGTACTCTCGGCTGGACTTCCCGATGGAAACGCCGGACTCGCTCTCAGTTTGGGATGTCTTGCCGAAGGATGAGTACCTCCGATGAACATCGCAGCCCGACACCCAGGAACATCTTCTAGCCACGATAAGACGGTAAACCGTTGGCGGGGATCAACCGAAAACAGGTGAAAACCAAGAAGAGCGGCATACACCATTTAGATGATGGAACCGTTGTTATTAGTGGAGGAGAATTTTTGTTATAAAGCGTCGGAGGCATCAGAGAATTTTTGACTGAAAAGTATAGTATGAAAACCTCAAGATTTTTCCTCGCTAACTCGTCCTGAAGGCGAACAACCCGCTGTAGTAGATTGTTACCAACAGACCCTCGAACATTTTTACCTGAGCGTAGTCCTGCAACAGTATTGTGGAATAATTTAACGCCTTATAAGGCATGATCTTTGGTCTCGGTAATAAATAGCGTTTACCATAGTAGTATAAATGAACATCGCTTTTGTACTTCCTCTCGCGTTAACTCTGGCACTGTTAACTGATTTTTTAGGTAACTTTAACTTTTGAAGTGTAGAAGGTCCAAATTTTTCACCTTTACATCGAGATTTGATGTATGAAACACTTTAGGACCTGCGCTTTATTTCAAACTGTATCGCTTTTATTTCTTATAACAAAATATTTTTCTTCTTGAATATGAGGGTTATAACTTATAGGTAGCTCGTGTGCGGTTTTGGAATGTCTGCTACTTCTACACTTCTATAGTTCTACATATAAGGTTCTACACTTTCTACCAACTTTTATTTTTAGTTTCTTTCCGCCATCTTAGAGTGTCTAAGTGAGTTTTTCTCCAATCTTGATAGCTGTGTAGTTCTACGGTGTCCAGAGATAATAATATCGGGCACTCTGTAAACACAATGGCAGCAAAAAATAAACGGAAATGCCAAAATGCTTATGTTATGACAATCCATTAATGCAAAACTTAATCGATAGCGATCTAAATGCTACGGGAAGAGAACAGAGAAGACCAAATTGGTTTAACCTTTGAGGCAAGCTCTAAAAGACTCAACATGGAAGTTGAATGGTTCTCTGCTAAAAAGTCCATTGAGGGGGATTGATGACGAAACGCAGTCAGGACAAGACCAGATTTAATCAGACGCGAACGTCTAAGAACGCATTCTCTGGTTTCATACACATCATCGGTCATACCTATATATACGCTACCTGCTGCAAAGCAAGATGCTTGACAGATGGAAAAATAGCGCAAACGACGGCGTAGTTGTTGAATAACAGTGACTAAAATCTTGACAAATATCACGAAATGTCCTTACGTTTGTCATCTGCTGGTTCTTTAGCCAATAACGCTGATGAAGAACAGTCATACAGCAAGTAGAATCTACAGAAGAGTTCAAGATGATGATTTATGTCTAACTCGACTATGCACTCATACTCGAAAAAACTAGTTTCATCCGTGTTTCACTTTAAAAAATTTGTTGTCCGATTGTGTCGGAATACATGTGGTGACAATGATTTCACCATCCTGTAATGCCATTACCATCGGTGTAAAAATATTTTTCGTCGTAGCTGCTCTGCTACGACAATTCTATAAAGTACTCGTGTATTTGAGTCAGAAGTCGGGATGACGAGCAGACTAGCCGCACAGCCTGGAACATAGCGCTTTAGTGAGACTACAAGGGCATCAAAGACTACTGGCTTTGGCGAGCTTACAAAAGCATCGAAAACTATTGGCTACGTGCTTGTGTCCTCGACTTCACAATGGTTTCTGCCTCAGCAGCCACCTTGAGTCCTTGGCACTACATATGAAGAGGAACATGAACTGGAGGTAGTAAAATCAACGTACTTTCGAAAGAACAGAGAGGATTCCATTCGAGGTAAGTGAGGAAGGAAACTTGGACATGAAGCTCGTCTCGGTGGTAAACCAGGGCACAAAAACGTTTATCGACTATTACTAAGGGTTGTCGATAACACAAAGAGAAAACCAATGAGAACATGTTTTACGAAGATTATAAAGAAAGCTATCCTGCTTTTTGTGCCCCTTAGCTGACCGGCCAGATGTTCGATTCTAGCACTCGAATATGCTGGCTATGGCTTTGTAATGGGTTGGCAGCATAGGCAATGGTTAGCAACGGAAATTACAAACCACAGCAGTCTTAAGATAACTCTGTTTAGGTTTAGGTGCGCATTCAAGAACCTTTCTTGAGAAGAAGCGCATTACCTGAGTATGTTGACGATGGCGTTTCGATGGACGATGAAACAGAATTGGCTCTGCCTTCATTTTCAGCTAAAGCATTTGTGATGATTGCGTTAACATGAATTCTCCTCGTTGGAGCAGCCTTTATTGGCTCATACGTTTCTCATATAGTACTAAATCTTACCTCTTCCAGGAATATCTTCAGCACAGTGCTTTAGCTGCGCCACAGCAGTGGCTGAACGCCGAGCGGGCGATCTGGATGGTATAGGTCGTTGAGAAATGAGTTTCTGGAGAAGCTTCTCTCATTCGAATGTTTATTTACAGAGGAAAACAAAGGAAGAAAAAAACGTAAATTCTAAACAAAACTTGCCTTCTTTCCTAAAACTGGGAATGTCGTTAGTTTTGGATCGTTTCTTCCTACAACTGCCTCGTCAAAATTGCTACGCTGAATAAGAATTATGGGGCTCACTCCGTGTTGAATGCACAGACTTACTTTCTTGTATGGAAAAACGACACGTCTCTCGAACACAAAAGGCTGAGCTTTGCCAAATCTAAGCATGTCTCCATTGTGCAGTTCTACCTATAACCTGAAAGATTAGGCTCAGAGTAAATGTCATTACAAGTGTGTTTAAGTCAGTGGAAGATATAGAAAATGCAAAGAAGCTCTAAGGAATTTCAAGACTAGATTTGTTGATAGTCCTCCTATAAACACAGTAAGATCCATAGGGACTTAATCTGGAAATCTGGGATCTAATCGTAATAGTAATAATCTTGTAACACTAAACACCAAAGAGAAGGTTTATTTTAACTTCTTATTTACTGCCTACTCTTTTTAATGGCAAAGTATATATTGTGAAATACAACTTTAATGATGCTGGGATATTTGCAAAATTCCAGACTGCAGGTGACTGCGGTGGGGAACGAACGGGCTATTGTCCTTTCCGGGGAGTAACGCGTTCACCACCACACCATGCGGGTTCTTCGTTTCTCCTGTCTCTCAGCTAGTTCTATCGATCTTTTGCCACCATGGGAAAGGTTTATGTATCAGTAGAATGAAAGCTTCTTACTAGACTTCACCTGGCCGTCAACATGGTGTCCATTTACTGTTGTGCGTCCGGCAAGAGAATGATCCCTCAACCAGAACAGTCCGGATTCCAGATTCTGTTGAATGGACGCATGAATCGGATGCACTCCTTCAGCCTGCAAAATTGCTGGAAAGTGGTTCAAACGTTCTGCGAAAACGAAGATATTTGGGGTGAATTCTATCTCTTCGAAAAGGTGCAAATGCTCATAATCTATTTCTCAAATATTCTTGCTGGAGATGTTTGACCATTGCTGAATGAGTTGCCTTGATATCTTCGATATCCTTCTCTATGGATATGTTGCTCTGAATTTAAGTTTAACGTTTATGATGACCTCCTTCGAATTCCTACAAGAAATCAGTTGAAATCTGTGGTTCCGAAAAAATAGGATACAGCAGTGGAAGTAAATCAGGCGACAATGGTTTTTGTGCTTTGCTACAACTGTGGAATATAAATGAATGCTTAAGGATAAAGGATAAAGCGAATGGCGTCGATCAATCCCTGAGTGGTGCGTCATGCATTCGATTTCACCAAGCATCATTTGGAGGTGATTAAATGTGTATCTGGCCTTTTCAATAACTCGCGGTGGCCTACCGATGTATCCAGCCAGTGCTGCTATCCTCCCAGACAAGTCTGGCACCAATTTGCCGATCCCGGAGGGATGGAGGGCTTGGTGGGCCATGGGAGCGGGGATCAATTCTACGTGTGTGTTGAGGGCGTCTCCGACTACTGCGCCAAACGCGCCCTTAAAATGAATGTTACTGAAAGCATTTTTTAAAATATCCATTTGCGTTCGAGGCAATGGCGTCGAAAGATTAGCCGCAGGAAAGTTCCTCAACCATATGGTGTATACTTATCAATAAGAGAAGATACTAATTATCCATGCAGAGGTTAAATAAAAATCGGAACGCTTCCGTGTACTCCAATTAATCTTATTCTCCTAATAACTCAAGAGACTGGCTTTTTACAAACCTCGGCATAAATAAACGATATAGTTATTTATATGTTCCTATGAACTGATCTTGTTGAGCTGATCTTAATACTATCCTGTCCGTTAGAGGATGGATTGTCACCATGAAATCAGATAAGTCATCATATGCAAAGTGGGTCCGGGTCTCGATGAAAAATTCTCTTTCCATTCCTCATCAACACTTTTTGTCGAATATGTTTAAATGTCTCCCAGTTTTACAATGATGTTTCATCAACAAAAACCAAAGAGATGTATGATTAGCTAGTGCTTTGCATTTAATCAATACATAGTGTTGTTGCTTTTTTGGAAACCGTCGGTCCAGTTGAATGGAAAGAACAGCTGAATTCACGTTCCTATACAGAGGATTAGAGGTCTGAGGCGAGATGAATGCGTAGTTCTTGTGCAGTCGCGTGTCAGTTCCAAGTGAGATGCGTAAGCACGCCAGTGTTCCCACTACAATACCTTTGAGAAAAAGGAAAAACTACGATGATGATTGACTGTTCAGTTTAATTGGACACTGAGTTCTGTTTCGATCGACGTTATCTATCCGTCTAAAATTCAATGATCAACGAAAGCCACTATCGTGCTCGTAGTGCGGAAAGGGCGGGAAGCGGAGCATTGGAAGAGTTTCTAGAGAAGAATGAAATAATCACGAACAGGTGCGGCACTTTGCTTACGTTGTTGGAAAGTAGACTGGATATCGTTCACCAATGACGAGGAAAAATGTTTTATTTCCACCAAGACTTTTGATCACATGGCACAAATAGTGCCCGTGACGTTTTAAAAGCAACTAATGAGGACTTTTTGGTGTCTAGTTCAGGTATTCAGTGATGCATGAGATTAGAAGTCACGCAGATGATAAGTAGTGGCGTATTCAAGCAGATATAGAAGAAATTTCAAACTTAAATCTTTATCTTCATACCATAGAGGTAAAGAGAGCGGGATAGACTAGTAAAGAAACGATAAAAGGATAAAGGATAAAGCTCTCGGCGTTGACCAATCCCTGATGAATGCATTCGACTTCATTAAGTATCGTTGGAGGTGACTGAATCCATATCTGGCCTTTACAATGACTCGCGATAGCCTACCAATGTATCGAGCCAGTGCTGCTATTTTCTGAGACAAGTCTGGTACTAATTCGTCGACCCCGGAAAGACGGAAGGCTTGGTGGGCCATGTGCACGGGGATCGATTCCACCTGTGTGTCGCAGTGGCGCCTCTAACCACTGCGCCACAGGCACACTTAATGGAAGCGATCGTGAACACTAAATCTATTAAAGAGCACCTCTAACGAAATCGAAATGAGGTTGAAAGAGGTTATGAAGAAATAAAGTGTTAAACCTTCGGAATAAAAAAGGAACTCAGAGAAACTATTCTAGTTAGCAAACGAGTGCTCTTCTGCTTCGGAGCACATGTTTCAGATAATGGCATAGTTCACGACACTCTCAGTGTTTTTTAGTATAAGGCTCTTGATGACAGGTGCGCACATCGAGAAAATTGCTATACTTGGTGAAATAAAGTCCAATTCTTGAGCCCACATTAGTCATTTGAAAACTGGGTGCTCATAGTGATCGATATGGATGGCCCAGGAAGCACCGTAAGAAGTGAAAGCAGTTCAGTAGAATTATTTAGTTTTTGTGAATTGATCTATCAAATAAGAAGCCAAAATACCTTAAAAACTATCTCAATGCCGTGTTTTTATTTAAAAAAGGATGAATGATTCACTTTTAAGATAATATTGCACTTATCGGAGCCAATGGTGAGATTCTCTGACTGAATCAGGATCGTTTCCAGACCATGCGAACTGTATCGACGTAACATTCTGGAAAGACATTTGGTATAAAATCAAAGCAGTTTAGAAGAAAACCTGAATAAAGCATTTTTGTGATGTCCTCATTTACATCTCAGTACCATTATGTGGTGAACTACATGTCAGGCTTTCATTTTAGTGTACGCAAGATGGTCCACAGCTGAGATCGAAATGAATTATACAGAATGAAATAACCCGAAAACAATGCGTTAAAAAAACTAAGACAAGGAAAGTTTTTTCGTCAAACGACAATTTCTGCGGAACATTTAGGATGGACATGGAGCTGTTGGACGTGGGAAGGTACGCGGAAACAAAGGGAGTGATCAAACTCGTGCTGAACCAAAGGTGGATGCGGAGAACAGGAAATGGGAAAGAGAAAAGCGCGGGACACAAGAATAATAAAGAACAAACCGGAAGACTCTAGAAAACAAGGAAAAGGAAAATAAGATAATATGGACAGAAAGAGAGGTCGATAACTAGTAAGTAGAGGAAATAGAAGATGGCGAGGAGCCCAGTGGGAAGTTAATTTTGTGAGCAGATGTCTGTATGATGAAAGATAAAATTACACGAGCATTCTTTTTATTTTGTTTACTTCATTTTATTTGATCCGTCCTCACGTCTACTGAGCAGATCCTAGCACTTCTCACATTGAATTCGTTTCCTCGCATCCACTGTCCACCATGATCTTCCAACTTTAACGTGTGGCTCGGTTGCTGTTTGAGAATTTTCATTTCATCTTGAATGTCATAGAGTGCTAGTCGAGAAATTCTTCCTGGAGTCCTGAGATGGTTGGACTGGAGCGTTCCCAATTGGATTGAAGAGAGCGATTTTTTCCCAGACAAGTCCGGTACCAATTTTCCGTCCTCGGGTGGGAGGCTTGGTTGACCCGAAGTGGGAATCGAACTAGCGCCGTCTTCGTGACGACGGGCATCACTACCACTGTGCTATCCGACCCCTATTGACTACTAATTTCGGTTAATTGACGGTCAATATATTTATTTATGTGATCTTATAAACCGATCTTCTTAAGCTGACGCGAGGTTGGTACAGGTCTTCGTTGTCATTGTCGTTGTTTTTGATGTTATTGATCGATGGCTGACGTTTAGGCGACTTCGCCTTCCTCAGAGTCCCGCACGTAACATCACGGCTCTAGTACAATAAGTGTGACTAGAAAAGAGAACAATGCAGAATCAATGTAGGTAGTACATGATTGTATGGAAAGATCGAGAATTTTTGGTGCTTGATTGAGCTGGTGCGGAATCGAGCTACCACCATGCTCGTGATGACGGACATCATTACCATTGAGCCATCTGTCCCTTATTACACGAATAAGTAACGGTATAATAGTTAATAGTATTCACGGCTAAAACTTTTGAATGGCAACTAGTGTTATTCTTCGTATTCTTGCTGAGCAAACGCGAGGTGTTATTTTATTCTTTATTCAAGAACAAGCTGACGTTTCGGAGGATTTCGTCTTCCTCAGAGCGTTAAAAGATCAAGTTGACAGCAATCTATTCGGCCAAACACCTCCATAACCAAACAGAGAAAACGTTGAACCAAAATTTCAATCACACTGAACACAGCTCTGCACACTCACCGCTTTCTATGAGTCTTCCACTGAGTACGTCGTGTGAAGAGCAACCGCACAGAACTCACGTGGAAGCAAAATGTACCTCTCCCATCAGAATAACAAATTTATATACTGTCCAATATCACGCGTGATAATGAAGCATATCCTACCTGTTCATTTTCGAATTCTTGGAATTAATCCAGAATGCCTCTAGAGTTTTGCGCACTTGTGCTCTCGATTCCTGTGCGAGGATCGTAACACGTACTTCAAAGTCCTCTCCGTTATGTCTCTGGATCCTATGCGTGCCTAGCGGAGTATTTGGTTTACGTTTGCTGACTAGGTGTTCTATTATGCGGACACAGAGGGGTCTGCCCGTTTCGTCAATATATTCGTCTCCGCACGCCTTACAGGGATCAGATAAACTATACCTGAGCTCATGCAATCACCGTCTTTACCATTGGGGCAAATTGCGCAATTTTGCGTTACACATAAACGGTCGCATAGGCGGTTACTAACTAGCTGGCGCCTAAGATTACTCGGTGGTATTTCAATTATCCCTACCGGATTCTCTAGACCCGCTCTTCCTAAACAGCGTTTTATAGCTGCACTTACTTCATTTGAAATGAAGGTCAGTATAAACGGGACCTTATTGTCCCTAGAGTTATCGTTTGGGAGTCTGCGATTTTCTCTACACTTATCCCGAGCTGCAGTTTCGTAGCCATTAAGAATGGCTATTTTCCGCGCCAAGTTCCGGGACTCCTCTCTCTGCTCTTTTCCCGTGCACACCGTTGGTTGTCGTTCGAAACATGTTTCTTACAAGCGCTCATTTCGTGTGAGAGCGGTGAGAAAAGAGGTAATGTACCAAGTTGTTTTTATTACATGGCTTTCGGTACCACTT